AGAGATAGAGATAGATAGATGAGAGAGAGAGAGAGAGAGAGAGAGAGAGAGAGAGAGAGAGAGCGCCTGATCTTGAACTCACTATACAGAGCAAAAACAGAAGAGATCTGCCTGCCTCTGCCTCATGAGTGCTGGGATTAAAGTTGGACACTGCCACAGACAGACCAATTTTAAGAAATCATACTCAAACCTTTATGTCATTTCATTTTCAGAATCTGATGAAATAATAGTCTGCCCTAAATTGAAAGATTTTAATGTTAGGAACACATATTTTGATTCATGAATATTGTCAGTCCTTAGTGAATATAGCTAAGAGGATTATAAAGTTTTCTTAAAATGACATTATAGAAATTAGTATATTTTCATATCTCATAGATGTTCTGAAAATTCTTTTCTTGCTGGGCATGATCATTTATGACATCATAATACTTGAGTTTTGGAATACATGATTGTTTAGTCATTTCTTCTTGTTCTGGTTAGAGCAAGGCGTGTGCTCGGGATCTGAAACAGTTTTGCAAGACAAATGTATGTGGACACAGTATCTTTCCAGGCAATCTTGCAACAATTTCTGTGACTGCATGTGCCAACATTTTTTAAAATTGGCTTCCAAATGGCAAACGCGGGTGGCTGGTGTCTGAATTTCAAGGGTATTGTACAGTAAATGTTTTCTCAGTGAGTTAAAGTGTATCATTTCAGTGGCAGGTGATTGCCTAATGGAGTAGCCTTTTATATTTCTGTTACCATTTTCAGGTTTAAAATAAAAATAGCTTAAATAGTCAAGAAAAACTGAATATAATATGATTTTTTTTCTTTCATTTTTGTTTGAACAGAATTCCACAAACTTGTTGGACATATTATTTTTCTAAGAATTTAATTTTTAATTTTTTTTAAAAAAGATTATAATAGAATGGGTAGTATTATGTTTTTCATTAATCTAGTGATTAATTAAAATATTTTTATCAATTTCTGAAGCCATGGTATTTCTGGGGTTTGACATGTTTTCTGTTATGTCATCTCAATTATCAAGAGGTTAAAATTATTTCTTAAATGTGTTTTCCCTGAGCAATGGTTTTCCTTTTTCATTCCACATATACTTACTGAGTACTTTTCTAGTTGTTGAGTATATACAATTGAATAAAAGTCCTTGCCCTCATAAAGCCTTACACTTAGTTTACCAACCCAAAGAAAGACCTCTTATCATCAAATAAAACAGACTGAAAACAATGTCTTTGTAATTTTATGTCTTTTGAACTGGCCTCTTCCAAACGCAGATTAGAACTGATTCTTCTGCTACCTGGATATTTGTCCATGTATGTCTTCTTCATTGGATCCATTAGTGCATCCTGTTGCCTCTGCTTTTCTGTCAAACTTTACATAATTTAGTATTTTTATCTGTGTACTTATAATGTATACTTACATCTGAATAAACACTAGATATAGGTGATTTGTATGCACTAAAAGAGTTGGAGTTTGAAACAGAATCTTAATCCTAAACTCCTCTGCTGGTGATGTATTTTAATGAGAGCCTGGTAGTGTAAGGACCTTCCGAAGTATGCTGGTAAGAATGCATTTCTTGGTATTTTTGACATTGCATTCTCACTGAGGGATCTTTTCTTTTTAAATACTAATTCTGGACTTTTGCTTCTATTTACAGACAGTATTTTAACAGTAATCCAGTCATTTTATTTTTAAGGATGAATCTTCTATTTTACAAAGCCCTTTAAGTGTAATTCCAGAGGCTTAATATTGTACAAAGAGGCAGATGACTCTCCACCTATTTCTCAAGCAGACAAGAAATAGATTAACTGTGAAGTTACTAAATAACTTGGGAAAACCCTGGTGTAGTGTATTTTTATATTGTATGGCACTAGTAGCTGCTATATGTGATTACTGAATAAATGTCTTTAAAACATTTATTATATGTTAGAATATAGAGGGCATCCCTCTATATTCTATAGTAGGTAAAGTTTAAAAATACTATATTATTTATTCTTAATACTTGTCACTGTTTTGATAGCCGTATTAGTATCATTACTGATACTGTGTTAACCAATTATATAATTACTTTTCAGCCATTTTGAAATTAGTATAGTTAATATTTATAGTAATTCTAGTATATTTCTTTTCTTTTGAAGGCTCATACTTTGTTTGGTATGATTAAAGAACTCATGTTTTACAAGTGGTGATTAGTACATGTTTCACATAAAGGAAATTTTATAAAACAGGAAATTAAGGCTAGGAAGATGGCTCAGTATGTGAAGTGCTTGCTAGCACAAGCAAAGTTCAGTTCTCTTTAAAATACCAGGCCTGGTGCTGTGAGTCTGTAATGTTTTGGGGTGTTCAGGGTGGGGGAAGACACAGATGGAGGCAGGAGGATGTCTGAAGCTAATTCTTCAGTAGTGAATTTTACTTACCACTGAAGCAGTAGCTTCAGGCAAGCTACTTACCCTAAGGCAAGAACACTCAAAGAGAAATTAAATATAGGGGAAAACACCTGTAGTTCAAGGCATGAAACACACCAAAGTTGTTATACAATATTTTTCAAGATTTAATTATGGCTTTGAGTATAGTATTACTAAAATCCAAGCTAGATACACAAGACACATAAGAAAGAAATAAGAAACATACTCAAGAGGTAGGCATGTAATAGGGGACACCTAACAGAGTAGTGATCAATTAAAATAGCCTTTGTAGCATAGTTTTTATCTTGTTACTCACTGGTTTTCGTAGCATCCTCCTAACCTGTGTGGGACCCAGAACCATTTTCCAGCCCCGGCCACCACACAGTGGAGGACCAGAACTTCTAGGTCCTCTAGAAGTTCTGTCACAATGATAGACCTTAAAAAGTCCCCATGTTTAAAATCTAAATCTCAAAGCCTGAGGCTCAAGAAGAAAAGCCGAGTGTTGGTCTATGCTGCCACTTGCTGAGGAGCTCTGGATTCGGGAAGGAGAAGAGGGGGAAGACAGCAAAGATGCTGTGGACTGAACATCGCGGGAGCTGTGGGCACTGCAGATGCTGAAAAGCACCTTGGCTTGAGGGTGTGGAAGTTTGGACCCTCATCTCTGAAGACTTTCAGAATCGGGTGACCCTTGGCTTTAGAACATCTTGATCATGTTTCTGTCCTGCATTGAGTGACAAAGTAGCTCATATGTGAGAGGGACATCATGGAAACACCAATCAGTTTGGCTCAGAACCACTGACTTTACTTCTGTGTCAGACAACTAGGGCTTTGTTTTTCACTGTGACCATGTGACACCACTTAAGTTCCTCCACTTCCTCCTGGCTTCGACTTCAGAGACCTGGTTTGTGACCTTTGTTAATTAGTCAGTAGGGAAGATCATGGAAGCTCTGAAGTCTTGGGCTGGACAGGTCCATCATGGCTCAGAACTTCACAATGCTGTCATCATCTTGAAAATGCTAATAACATTGTCTTTATGGAGGAGGAATGAGTAATGTTCGACATATAGCTAGGCCTACCTCACACATCTGCTCACAGACTGTGTGTATGGAATACAGCTCTGAGATGTGCTGGAGATGAGGTAGAACAAGCAAAACTGACACATTAAAAAAGAAATTTGCACAATTATTAAATACATTGATGATGTGTTTACATGTAGTAAAAGCTTACATTTGGGATGCTGTAAAATTTCCTTGTATTTATGGAAAATTTGATCAGATAAGCAACTAAGAAACGTATAAAATTGTTTAACTGAGAAATGCAGTCCCAGCTGGACATATAACTTAAAGGAAACATAATCTTATTTTAAATACTCTTACCTGTCTTACAATTGTTAATTATAAGTATAAATATCTTTCTCCCTTTTCACAATAGTAAGTATAATCTAGTAGAGTTATTAGAACTGGTGTTTTTAATTAAAATATCTGAAATTTGCCTTTTGTTAAAAGAACATGTTATCTCCTTTTTATAGTGCAGGAATCCTATTAATGCTGCTGAGGTATATATCTCATTAGTAAGAAAGCAGGTTTTCACACTAATAAACTTGCAGGAGATAGGAATGTTTTAAAATGGACTTTGCTGTTGAATTTTAGATTTCATCCCTCACCCTGAGGAATGATGCTAATACTAAATTATTAAAACCTTGGGTTGAAAGTTGGCATTGGTAATTTACCTGGAGAAGGAGATCAGTCCTCCTAATTTGAGATCAGATGGAAAATGAATTAGCTGGGAAACAATGTAAGGTTGAAGAACTAACTCGAGAACTGGAAGAAAGGAGGGCCACCTGTGGGCCTGAGATAATCCAAGTGTGTGATCGCCTCCTGCGGCTTTAGTTTGTTATACATGTGGATGGTACTGCGTATGTGCTCTTTACACATGGCGCTTTCCTCTGGCCACTTAGGCCATTCCATAATTTTGTTCTTGTACATTGCATAAACAAGCCCATTTAGACTGAGGATTGTGGATACACAGCTGAAGTATTCATACCTAAAATTTAACTGTAAAACAGAGTGGAATCATTCCTTTTAAGAAACTTTTTTTTTGTTATCAGCCTGAGAAAAAGTTGGTGTAAACCACAAGACAGTGTGAATTAAGCCCTTTAAGAATGGGAGCAAGTACCGTGTAAGGGCTACACTGACATCTGCTATATGGGAAGTGAAGGTGAAATTAAGATGGGGTGGGACACTGGTGGGAACGACAGCCTACTTCCACTCCATCCTCTGCAGAACAAAGCTGGGATTAAATGTGACTGTTGGTGTCACCTAGAAACACCCTGGTGCATTACAAAGTATAAAGACACTTCTATAAGAAAATATGGAAAAATCAACCCAAATGTAATCTCTTCCTTAAGGAAGATACATGATTTGTTGTTGTTGTAGGGTCTTTTTTTGTCTGTCTTGTATTTTTAAGACAGGGTTTCCCAGTAGCTATGGAGTCAATCCTGGAACTAGCTCTGTAGACGGGGCTGGCCTGGAGCTCACAGAGATCTGTCTGTCTCCCGAGTGCTGGGATTAAAGGCTTGTGCCACCACCACCGCCCGGCTAGATATAAGTATTCAAGTCAGTTTTTAAATAAAACTAATTTGGATAGCCTTGTAGCTTTCGTGAAAGAGTACTTATTTTGAAACAAAACCTAAAGCTAGTATTTACCCTTTTCATTGGTTTCTTCTAGCTATACAAATTTAAAGCTGCCGTTAAGGAAAGAGACGTCATCATAACCCAGCTTAGGGATAAACTGCAGCAGGCAAACAGAGAAAAGGAGGATATAACGAGACATTTTTCCAAATTAACCAAACAAAGTAAAAAATTACAAAATGAATTCCAGCATGTAAGTATTACAAGCACAACAAAGTTTGTTGTTTTTTTAAGCAATGAATTATATACTTTTTCACTTATCAGAACAATTCAAATAATTCATTTGCTTCTTCTTGGGTACTACTTTAGTAATTTGAAACTGGTAAATTTGTTTTTTTTTTCTAGTAGCCAATAATTATTTGTTTCTTTCAAGACAGATTTTCTGTTTGTAGCTTCACAGCCTTTCCTAAAACTTGCTCTGTTACCAGACTGGCCTCCTCACAGAGGTCAGACTGCCCCTGGCTCCTGAGTGCTGGGATTAAAGGTGTGTGTCACCACCACCTGGCTAGATACAAGTTTTCAAAGTCAGTTTTGAAATAAAACTAATTTGGATAGTCTTGTAGCTTTCATGAAAGAGTACTTATTTTGAAACAAAACCTAAAGCTGATATTTACCTACCGTTTTCACTGGTTTCTTCTAGCTATACAAATTTAAAGCTGCCATTAAAGAGAGAGACGTCATCATAACCCAGCTTAGGGATAAACTGCAGCAGGCAAACAGTGAAAAGGAGGAGATAATGAGACACTTTTCCAAATTAACCGAACAAAGTAAAAAATTACAAAATGAATTCCAGCATGTAAGTATTACAAGCACAACAAAGTTACTTTTTAAGCAATGAATTATATACATTTTCACTTACCAGAACAATTCAAATAATTCATTTGCTTCTTCTTATGTACTACTTTAGTAATTTAAAGCTGGTAAATTTTTTTTATCTAGTAGCCAATAATTGTTTCAAGACAGAATTTCTCTTTGGAGCCTTTCCTAGAACTTGCTCTGTTACCAGACTGGCCTCCTCACAGAGATTCGACTGCCTCTGCCTCACGAGTGCTGAGATTATAGGCATGTGCCACCATCACAACCATCCAGAATAACCATGATTTTTTTAATTCATATTTTGTGAATGGTCCCTTGCTATTATTTAAACTAAACTGCCTATTTCTGTTTTGAAATTCTACAAAACCTTACCATGGTGGACTAAGTGGATTTTTGCAGACATCATTCTGTAGTTGCATTGGACATTTGCAGTTCTGGCATGGTTTGATTAGGTTCTAAATGGTAACTGAACCCATAACTTCCATTTACTTTAAGTTTCCCTTGGGAATCCATCTGGGCTAGTTTTTTTGGGGGGAGGAGACTTATGGCTTTTTATCTTTTTGTTAATTTTTATTGAGCTGTACATTTTTCTCTGTTTCCCTCCCTGCCTCTCCCCTCCCCTTCAACACTCCCCCACAGTCCCTATGCTCTCAATTTACTCAGGAGATCTTGGCTTTTTCTATTTCCTATGTAGATTAGATCTATGTATGCCTCTCTTAGTGTCTGGGCTAGTTTTATGTCAACTTAATGCAAGCTAGAGCTATCGGAAAGGGGGGAACCTCAATTGAGAAAATGCCTCCATAAAATCGGACTGTGAGGCATTTTCTTAATTAGTGATTGGTGGGGGAGGGTCAGTTTGTTATGAGTGGTGCCATGCCTGAGATGATCCTGGGTTCTATAAGAAAATAGACTGAGCAAGCCATGAGGAACAAGCCAGCAATCAGCCTCCTCCATGGCCTGCCTCTATATATATCAGCTCCTACTCCAGGTTCCCGCCCTGTTTGAGTTCCTGTCCTGACTTCCTTTGATGATGCTATAATGTGGAAGCAATAAGGCAAATAAACCCTCTCCTCCCCAACATGCTTTTGGTCATGGCATTTCATCATTCACCAATAGTAACCCTGACAATGCAGAATCTGATTGCATTGATCAGAGCTTGATAACAAGTCACAGAAAACAACTTGAAATATCTTCAGTCAGAGAGTTTACTATAAGTATACAGGTGTCTTACAGGATTTAGGGATATACATACATAAACACACACACACACACAGAGAGTTTACTGTAAGTATACAGGTGTCTTACAGGATTTAGGGATACACACACACACGCACGCATATATATATATAGTATTTATATATTATATAGAAATATAATCTTGACTCTGAAAGAGATTGGAGCTAGAGTCTGAAAAGTCACCAAAATGTAGAAATACCTTCCTGTCCCACTTACTCCTCTTCTGCCTCTTGAGTACTGTGGAGATTGTGTGCGTGAGTGTGTGTGTGTGTGTGTGTGTGTGTGTGTGTGTGTCTGGCTCAGGGTATAGTTCTTCTAGAAGCACCATAATTTTTTCAAAGGCTGAAGGCACTTTGGTCTTTCTTCATGAATTGTACTTAGAGGTTCTCCCAGCATTTCTTCAGAGGGCTTTCCTCTGTCTGAGCTTCGACATTTTTTCTTCAGATGTGTTATACAATTCGTTCACACTACCTTTGAATTCTGTTTGCCAAGACCTTTGTGATATAATTTACCTGCTCTGACCACTTCTGTAGATTTTATTTCATGCTTAGTATTTGGGTCTGAAGTTTTTAGTCACACAGAAAACTAAACAAGAGATCCAAAATGCTGCTCAACTTGGTGTTTGATGATTGTGATCTAACTGTGCTTTGGTGTGTTCACCTGGGCTGAGCAGTTATTAACAGTTATGTAACTGGACTCAAAAAGGAACTTCAGAAAAGTTTCTTTTCCTTTTTCAAGTTTCTGTTAAAACTGAAATTGTAGTTTCAGCTCAATACGCTATGAGTATTATATTGTTGTAGATGTCACTAAAATGTCTGGCAGTGAAATTAAGACAGACCCACAGGAAACCTCTTCTTAGTGCAGAGGTCTTAGCATTGGAACACCTTCAGATCACTAAAATTCATATTTTTAAAACTTTTTTTGAGAGAATTCAGAGAGTGCATAGTATTGCGCACTATCAAAATATTAAATAATTAGGATATTAATCAGTTCATTTTAAAAGTGAAGATTTAATGGGCTACCAAAGATTTAGTGGGCTTTTTAATTACTACAATTACTTATTTGTCTGGAGAGTGAACTCAGGTCATCAGAGCTATCTCTTCAGTCTAGCAGTATTTTCTTTTCCTTCTTTCTTTTTTTCATTCTTTTTTAGCAGTGCTGAGAGTAGAACCCAGGATCTCATACATGCTAAGCAAATCAGGCTGGATATTTTTGATTTAAGTATTTGTTACATTTTTATTATTTTAATTTTTTTCATAAAGTATATTATCATATTCTTTCCTGTCCTCCCAGGTTCTCCCACACTTCCTTTAATTAAACATGTTAATCACAGCAAATGTGACTCAATATTTCTTCCTAAGAAGGTCTGAACTGTTGTAGTGTTGTTGTCTGCTCATAAGTGTCTAGGTATACAAGTCATACCATGGGAACAATTGAGGGGTGGGCACAGCAGTTAACTTTTTATAGAATGTTGTGAAAAATGTCTTTTGCTCATAAAGTTAAACAATAAATTTACCAGAAGTTATTACACTTCTTTTTCTTTCTTCATATTATGCAAATTAAACTACAGTTGGAAAAGCAAACCATGAGTCAAATAGAGAAAATTAAATACCAACAGAAGGGAGAAATAGAGAGAACTTTAAGTCGACATGGAGCACAATATGAAGAACAATTAACGTTTCTGAGGGCAACCATCAATGAACTGCATATAATGCTACGATACTCTCATTTTCAAAAACAGAAATTCAGGGAAGAGCTCCGTTTGACAAAGTTAGAAAAATGTGCTCTCCAGTATCAATGTGAGGTTCTGTCAAAAGAAGTAAGGTCTTTAAAAGACCAGCCAAAGAGGTAAGCACACAATATCTGAACAGGAGCATAAAGTCCATGAAATTTGCAAGTCCATCAGCACAGTCAAGGATTTAAAACTGAGGTTGTTGCATGTGAGTCTCAGAAGGAAGCTGAATTAAAACACAAAACACAAATTACAAATTATAAGGTAAAACTTGAAATGTTAGAAAAAAAGAAAAGAACACAGTCTTATATAAGAAGACAAAGTCCAAAGAGGCTGGTTGACTGATTTGAGAACACAGCTTCTCAATCATGAAGAGCTTTCTAAACTAAAAGAAGATCTAGAAGTTGAACATAGATTAAATACTGAAAAGCTTGTGAAGACGTAGGTGAGCTTGAGAGCCAGGATATAGGGCTGTGTTGTGGGCCTTGAGAGAGGAGACGGAAAGGGAAAGCAGACCTTGAAAAGGAAGAAAGGATGTGTGAAGCGAGGATTTCATCCTAAGTAGGAAACCATGGGAAGTTTTGTCTTTATTTCTGATTTCTTCTAATCACATTTACGATCTTATATCAAGTGCAGAGATTCCTTATTTTATAATGAATAGAGTCAAGAAATCCAATTACAAACTAATAAATGTTTGGGATTGTTTTGAAAAGTATAACATGGGATAATTACCCCCAAAGGTGTTAAATGCCATTTTCAATTTTGAAATAAGAGAGGACCTGATTTCCAACTTGAGCTGCCCTAATCTTGATACTATCTCTCACTAAAATTAAAATAAAATGGTTATTGTAGGCTTTCTTTTAATCTGAAAAGAAGCACCTGTGAAGTATAATTTTGGTTTTTTTTTTTTACTTTTTTAAAATTATTATTTGTTATCTTAATGCATTTATCTAATTCGGCTAATTCAGCTAGAAAAAAGAAAGGCAAATATCATAGAAAGTCTATTCAGTATTGGCATGTGAGGCTGCTAGGGGAGTATCAGTAATGGATCATTTCTCATGCTGAGAGAGGTGTGTTTGAATTTGAAGAGACACTGAAGCATAATAATCACAGGCGGACCTGCCAGTCTGACTTCCTTAAGGTCTTGCCTACTGGACCTGCATTACCTAGAATAAATACAATACAAAGCAGTGTATTTATTTATTCCTTTATTTCTTTATCTATCTATTTATTTAGATTTTTCTTTTTTTTAAGGTTTATTTATTATGTTTACAGTGTTCTGCCTGCAGGCCAGAAGAGGGCACCAGATCTTATCACAGATGATTGTGAGCCACTGCGTGGTTGCTGGGACTTGAACTCAGGCTCTCTGAAAGAACAGACAGTGCTCTTGACCGCTGAGCCATCTCTGTAGCTTTGGAGCCTGTCCTAGAACTAGCTCTTGAAGACCAGGTTGGACTCAAACTCAGAGAGATCTGCCTGCGTCTGCCTCCCAAGAGCTGCAATTAAAGGCATGTGCCGTCACCACCCAGCAAAGCAGTGTAGTTATAAAAAGGAAAATAAAGCCTTTTTTCAGATGTGAATAGTGAATCAAAGGAAAACTTAACAAGAGGGAAAAGATGAGACTAACATTGTCATTTACTGTATAGCATTTTATAAAAGTCTTAAGCATGTAGAGATAAATTGATACGTGGCATTAATTGAGAAAGATAGTTAACTGTAATGATTCACAGGCATAATTTCATAAGAATTTAAGAAAAAGTTAAAATCTTTAAAGTCAATAATGTAGAAAAACTTAATGCAGAAATGTCTAATAGCCTGGGCATGATGGCATATGACATCATCTCAGGAGCAGAGGGAGCAGATAATGAATAAGGCCAGACTGAACAAAGCAAGACCTCTTTTTTGTTTTTGTTTAACATTTATGCATATGTTCTCATCTGTGCCATAGCATGCATGTGACATTGAAACACCTTGCAGATAAGCATCCTTAGTCATCAGAGAAATGCAAATCAAGAGAACTCTGAGATTCCATCTTACACCTGTAAGAATGACCCAGGACAAAAACACTGATGACAACTTATGCTAGAGAGGTTATGGGGTAAAGGGCACACTTCTGCATTGCTGGTGGTACAGCCTCTTTGGATGTCGTTGTGGATATTTCTCAGAAAATTTGGAAAAACCTTCCTCAAGACCCAGTAATATCACTTTTGGGTATACATCCAAAGGATGCTCAATTGTGCCACAGGGACAGGTGCTCAACTGTGTTCATACCAGCATGTTTGTCATATCCAGAACCTGGAAACAACCTAAATGCCCTTTGACCAAAGAATGGATAAGGAAGATGTGGTACATTTACACAACACAGCAGAAAAAATAACAACATCTTGAATTTTGCAGGAAAATGGATGGAGCTAGAAAACATCATTTTGAGTGAGGTAACCCAGACCAAGAAAGACAATTATCACAAGTACTCATTCATAAGTGGTTTTTAAACATAAAGCAAAGAAAACCAACCCACAAAACACAATCCCAGAGAACTTAGATAACAATGAGTTCCCTAAGAGAGACTCACATAGATCTAATCTACATGGGAAGTAGGAAAAGACAAGACCTCTGGAGTAAATTGGGAGCATGGGGACCTTGGGAGAGGGTTGAAAGGGAGGGAAGAAGCAGAGGGAGGAGAAGAGAAAAATGTAGAGCCCAATAAAAAAATCTAAAAAAAAAGAAAAGATTACAAAACTACTTAAGTGAGAGAGATGGGATTCTAACACATCCCATGCAATTCCCTCATACCATACTTTATGCCACTCGCAAATTTATATAATATATAGGGCCATATAACTGAAATTACATTATATAATCAAGAAGATAGTTTTATTTAGCCTAAAGCCACCAAGATTTTCTTTGAAAGTTTAGTAAAATAAAGTTTCTTTCAATATAAAAAAGAAAAACCTTGCAGAAATTGATTCTCTCTTTCCACCATGTGAGTTCCAGGGATCAAACTTTGATTGTCAGGTTTGGCAGCACCTCCATTGAAACATCTCACTGGCGTCCAACTTTTTCAGATGGTTTTAAGTAGATCATCTGCCTATGTGAACTGGCTGCTCTGATATAGGTTACTATCTGATTATCTTGCTTTTTATTTTGCAGGTTCCTCCTCTCCCAATACCATACTGGTATGAGGAGATAATTTTCAAATCATGACATCATGAGGAGAAAGCATTAGCTGAATATTAAAGAGATTCCATTTATAAATCAATGTTTTGTGCATTTTTATTGTGTATATTAAATAAACACAACCAACACAAACACACTTATGTTTGTGTATAAATCTTTGCCAGCACATAAAAACAGATGAATTTGTGTATATAAAATACACAAATAATCATTAAATTTAATGTATATTTCTGGGATGCTAATTTAAATGATTAAATTATAAACAGTATTTATCAGATGGATTGAAGAAATTAAGGTGTTTCAAATGATAATGTTGATAGCACTCTTCTTACATGTTACATGTTTCTGCCTAATATAATTGCAACAGGTCATTAAGACATAACATCACTTGGAGAGACTTATTTTTGTATAATTGTGGAAGTTTTGAACTTTGCTGGTGTATTTTGTCAAGTACTGAAATAAAAACTGTGTCACCATTTTCTTTATATTGTATTTGAATCTTCTTCATTTTTAACTAAGCCACAGCTCAGCATACATAGCATCTTGCTACTTCTAATAAGGGGAAATTAAGATCCAAACTTTTTTTCTCTCTCCTTCATTAGAGAACATTTACAGTGTGTCTTTGTATGAGCTGTCCATACATGTTTTCAAGTCTTAAGTTGGTATTCTCATGATGAGTTCATATTTTATTACATTTAGTGTTCTTATTTATATTGATATTTTTGTGCTCTTCTCCTTGTCTCTCCCCTCTCCCTCAACCATCTCCCAAGATCCCCATGCTCCCAATTTACTCAAGAGAACTTGTCGTTTATCTACTCCCAATGTAGATTAGATCTATGTATGTCTCTCTTAGAGTCCTCATTGTTTTCTCAGTTCTCTGGGATTATGATTTGTAAGATTGTGTTTTTTATGTTTAAAAACCACTTATGAGTGAGTACATATTGATAATTGTGTTACCTCACTCAAAATGATGTTTTCTAGCTCCATCCATTTTCCTGCAAAATTCATGATGTCATTTTTTTCTGCTGTGTAGTAATCCATTGTGTAAAAGTTCCACATCTTCCTTTTTCATTCTTTGGTCAAAGGGCATTTAGGTTGTTTCCAGGCTCTGGATATGATAAATAATGCTAGTATGAACAAAGTTGAGCACATGTTCTTGTGGCATGATTGAGCATCCTTTGGATATATACCCAAAAGTGGTATTACTGGGTCTTGAGGAAGGTTGTTTCCTAATTATATGAGAAATAACCACACTGACATCAATAGGGACTATACCAGCTTGCATTCCCCCAGCATTGCAGAAGTGTTCGCTTTATCCCATAACCTCTCCAGAATCAGTTGTCATCGGTGCTTTATATCTTGGCCATTCTTACCGGAGTAAGATCGAATGTCAGAGTTGTTTTGATTTGCATTTCTCTGATTACTAAGGCTGTTGAACATTTCCATAAATGTCTTTCAGGCATTTTAGATTCTTCTCTTGAGAGTTCTCTGTTTAGGTCTGTACTTCATTTTTTATTGGATTATTTGTTCTTTTGAGGATCATTTTTTTATTTCTTTGTATATTTTGGAGATCAGACCTCTGTCTGATGTGGGGTTAGTAAAGTTCTTTTCCCATTCTCCAGGCTGTTGTTTTGTCTTGTTGACCATGTCCTTTGCTTTACAGAATCTTTTCAGTTTCAGGAGGTCCCATTTATTAATTGTTTCTCTCAGTGTCTGTGCTGCTAGGGTTATATTTAGGAAATGGTCTCCTGTGTCAATGCCTTCAAGTGTACTTCCCACTGTGTCTTCTCTAAGGTTCTATGTGGCTGGCTTTATGTTGAGGTCTTTGATCCGCTTGAACCTGAGTTTTGTTCATGGTGATAGATATGGGTCTGTTTTCATTCTTTTACATGTTGCTATCCAGTTATGCCAACACCATTTGTTAAATATGCTTTCTTTTTTCCATTTGATTTTTTTGCTTCTTTGTCAAAAATCAGGTGCTTGAAGGTGTGTGGATTAATTTCTGGGTCTTCAGCTCTGCTCCATTGGTCCTTCTGTCTGTTCTTATGCCAATACTAGGCTGTTTTCAGTACTGTATCTATATAGTATACTTTGAAGTGAGGTATTGTGATGCCTCCAGAAGTTCTTTTATTGCACAGGATTGTTTTGACTATACTGGGTTTTTTTTTTTTTTTTGCTTTTCCAAATTAAGTTGAGTACCATTCTTTCAAGGTCTGTGCAGAACTTTGCTGGGATTTTGATGGGCATTGCATTGAATGTGTAGATTGCTTTTCATAAGATTGCCTTTTTTAATATGTTAATTCTACATACCCAAGAGCATGGGAGATCTTTACACTTTCTGGTGTCTCCTTCAATTTCTTTCTTCAAAGATTTAACATTATTGCCATACACATCTCCTACTTGTTGGACTTACTTCAAGATAATTTTTGCTATTTGTGGCTATTGTGAACGGTGTTCTTTAATTTTTCCCCAGCCCTTTTATCATCTATGTACAGGAGGGCTACTGGTTTTTTAAATTAATCTTGTATTCTGATACATTACTGAAAGTATTTAAGAGTTGTAAAAGTTCCTTGGTAGAATTTTTTGATCACTTATGTAAACTGTCATATCATCAGCAAACTGAGAGTTTGACTTCCTCTTTTCCAATTTGCATCGCCTTGATCTCCTTTTGGTGTCTTATTGCTCTAGCTAGGACCTCAAGAACTATATTGTATAGCTTTGGGGAGAATGGACAACCTTCTCTTGTTCCTGATTTCAGTGGAATCACTGGATTTCTCTCCATTTAGTTTGATGTTGGCTGTTGGCTTGCTGTATATTGCCTTTATTGTGTTTAGGTATATTACTTGTATCCCTGCTCTCTCCAAGACCTTTATCATGAAAGGATGTTGTATTTTGTCGAAAGCTTTTTTGGCATCTAATGAGATGATCATGTGATTTTTATTTTTCAGTTTGTTTATATGGTGGATTACATTGACAGATTTTCATATGGTGAACCATCCATCCCTGCATCTCTGGGATGAAGCTGACTTTATCATGGTGCATGATGGTTCTGATGTGTTCTTGAATTCGATTTGCCAGTATTTTATTTAGTATTTTTGCATCTCATGAATAAGACTGGTCTGTAATTCTCTTCGTTAGAATATACCTTCTTCTCAGCACCTCATGGAACCTTCTCATGACCACATACTCAGTAACAAAACAAACCTCAACAAATACAAAAATTGGAATAAGCCAATGTATCTTATCAGATCACTATGGTTTAAAGCTAGAAGTCAACAACAATACTAATTCCAGAAAGCCCAATAACACATGGGAATTAAACAATGCTCAGCTGAATCATCAATGGGCCAAAGAAGAAATAAAGGGAGAAATTAAAGATTTCATAAAATTCAATGAAAGCGACCACACAGCATACCCAAATTTATGGGACACAATAAAAGCAGTGATATTTTGAGATGAGAAGACTCAACATAATTCTGGGTCACACCTTCTGGTGATGAATTATATAAAGAAGGAGGAAAAAAGTGACTGCTCTTTCCCTGCTTGCCCTCACTCTCACAAGTACTCATTCATAAGTGTTTTTTAAACATAAGGCAAAGAAAACCAGCCCAGAAAACACAATCCCAGAGAACTTAGACAACAATGAGGACCCTAAGAGAGACATACATGGATCTAATCTACATGGGAAGTAGAAAAAGACAAGATCTCCTGAGTAAATTGAAAGCATGGTGATCTTTGTGGGGAGGGTTGAAAGGGAGGGAAGAGGCAGAGAAGAATTTAGGACTCAATAAAAATAAAATATTATCAAGCTTAGTAGTTTGGATGGAAGCTTATGCATGGCTCTCATCAATTCAAAGGGACAGATGGATTCAGGTTGTACAACTCTTGTATCCTATTGGGATGCCACTAAACCTATGTGGGGCAAAGGGATCAGATGACCCTAGGCAGTTTGCAAAGGCCCCATGAATAATCTCCACACTGAACCAACTAGCCAAGCTATCAAGATTTCAGAACTGTAATAAAATAAAGCTCTTACCTAAGTCTGGGTTCTTATAATGAATGTCTCTATCACTCTGCCTTGGGATAGCATCTGTTGGAATGAAAGACATTCGATTCAAAAGACATTTTAATCATCAGATGATTTATGTCACCCATCACATGTCAGAGTGTCAGCCACACACCTAGCATCAGGACACTGTTGTATAAGGATATTTTAATTTCTTCTGGAGTATAAATAAAATAAGCACATTAACACAGAGATAAATGATGGGATCAGTGCTAATTTGAAGACTGTGGTATTTAAAACAAAGTAAATACCCAAAAGGATGAGTTGTAACTTACTTTACTGATAGGCAGTGTGGACAAGAGTGTTAAATAAAAAATGGCAATTCTCACCCTGTGAAAAGAGCTTCATTTCAAGAAAATGCCAGGCTGATGTATTCTGTTTTCTGTTCTGTATCTAATCAGTTGTGGGAGGTATTGATGGAAGAAACACCCTGTGAAGAAAGGACTTGTGAATGTCAAAGGTTAAAAGAAGTGTTTGCATTTAGGTGATCTTTTTAATTTTGCTATGCAAAATGGCCCAATTTATTGTTTTCATACCTGTTTTTTACGTGTCTGCCTCTGATATTTTCCTCATTTCCACTGCCTCATATCTTTGCTCTATTGTAATCCTATACCTTCCTCTTTTTTGTTTCTGTCTCTCATATCTTCCTGAAGCAACATTAGGATTATTCAACCCTTTGCCCAGAAACTCAACCACACCAAACACAGCCTGCAGAAAGCACTTTCTACTCTTCTTAAGTTCAAGGAAATTTGTGATAACCATTAATTCAGTCAGTGTAGTATGTATGTAGTAAATAGCTGCTACATGTCAGGTGCTAGGATGGACATAGTTTAATCAACTCTGACAAATGTGCTGGCTGTCATGGAGCTTGCAGACTAAAGATACCATGGCCAGACATACAACCCTAAACAAAGTTGCCTGCAGTACTTTAAATAAAGTACCATACTGCTTTAAAATCTTGTGGCTTTATTAATATTGTCAATAAATAAATTTCTATTATTTGTTTCTTGACTTTA